CTCGGGTACCAAGTTTCATTCAAATTTGTTTAATAATTTTTTATGTGAAAAAGTAACAAACATCCATCCATCCATTCTCACAAACTTTCACATTTATTGTAGAATATTTATTATAGGACATAAATAATAGGATTTATTAAAAACGTTCGATAGTTTTGTAATAAATAAGATTGACGTATAAATATAACTCATAATAAAGTAAATGGAGATTAAACACTTGTTTGGAATTTTTTAATATTTTTGACAAGTTACAGATATTACAACTAACGTACGAATAGACAAAACACTACAACATGTTGACACATCGACACTTGGATACTTCCACTGAACATAACAGAGCTTAATAAAGATTTTATCATATGATATATTGATATAATATGTTAAATAATCTTGATAAGCCTCTTGCTGTGAAATAAACGGGTTTTATCCAATATTTATATTCATAAAATAGTTTCGTTGAAGAATTTTTGACATTTGCTAAATCCGTTTTGATTGGTGGGTTATTTATATAATTTTAAATATTATTTGTGATTAATGATAAGAATCTATGTTATTATTTGATTTCTGTATTTGCTCTATCTATATAGCTTCATCTCTATTTTTATACACTTTTATGTTCACACTTGTTTAAATAATATTCATATACAGGTAGTTTTTTTTTTTTTTATAGAGAATGCTATAAAACTGCCTCATAAATGATTTTTTCCCGCAAACAAACGAGGTCGTGGCCTCGTCTATGGCGGAACTATATTTGAGTTTCGATTTTTATTGTTGTACGGACAGAAATATTACATATCTGTAGGTACATAAAATTGTAGTGTAAATCACTTTCTAAGCTAAGTACATCTATTTATGATTCCGTCAGTGATCAAAATCTAAAATCGAACTAAGATCGGAAGACGCTGTATATAGCTACAATTGACGATAAATAAAGTTAGCAAAATATAAAATTTCGTTCATTTTTGTAAACGAATAAATAAATAAATAGCGCATTATCACTAATATTATAAATTTTAAAGTGTGTCTATTTGTTACTTCATAACGTTTTGACGGTTTAACTAGTCACTATGAAATTTGGTATGTACGTACTATATGGGATGGAGAAAGATATAAACTGTAATTATCCCAATCTGTAAACATATCTGGGTCACTCGGACAATATCGCGGGTAAAAGCTAGTCTACCACATTAGTCACGTTAAATATCTAAATATGTTTCATAAATTAGTATTTTTGAAAACATTCAGTATTTCATAATTATAGTTAAAGAACTCTTCATGCGTAGTTCTTTTTCTTTTATTAAAGAAACAACCTATAGAGATTTCATTGTCCTGTTAATATTTGTATAAATCGATGCCTTTCAGCCTTCATAAGCAGTCTCTGGTCAACACGTAGCTAACACACCAAATGAACCAAATGAGTCCAAACTTGATGAGTTGTATTATTTTATTACAGTACTTTTGCATTACAACTACCTTTATGGGAGACATAAGCTATAAACATGGGATACATAAACTATAAACCTTATGTCCTTTCAACTCTATCTCCAGCTCCGTGACACTATATTGAATTATTGAAGTGACAGCGCGTGCTTTAAAAATGTATTTACGAGTTTTGTATCCGAAAAGTGGCATACAAATGAAACATGTTAAAAATTTATATAAAATAGTCAATATTTTCAAGGCTCACGCACGGACTTTTTCCCTGCTCACAATAGATAATATCTAGCGAGCATAAAGAGCGCGCGCCCGCTCGCAATATCTTTCCGTGTGTCCCCTCATTACTTGACTGATTTATAAAGCCTTCAGTGTAGAAATATCCTTGATGCGGCAGTGAGCCACCGTTTCAATAATCGTTAAGGCAAGTCGCGTTAATTCTTTATAGGATTAAAATACACAAGTCGTTTTTGATAGCGTTTAATTCGACGGTAGATAGATAGTTTGATATCGTTTCAAATGTTTACATTTATAATGGGAATGCTTTTGAAATGTAATTGTATAAAAGAGTTTGTATAATTCGAAGTACCATGGGGGGGGGGGGGAGATTAGTAAATATGTTAGTAAATACAGGGGGCAAACGAGCATGCAGCTCACCTGATGGTAAGTGACTACCGCACCCCATGATCACCCACAACATTAACAGCATTGCAAGTGTGCTGCCCGCCTTTTAAAAAGGAATATGGTCTTTTCTTGAAGGTTATGTTGTCGTATCGGTTCGGAAATACTACTGCTGGAAGTTGATTCCAAAGAGTGGTTGTGCGTGGAAGATTGCCACACGGCAATATTAACTTATCAATATTGCCGTGTGGTCCCGGCGTAGAATGGACCACCCCTTCCTTTCGTGGGTGTCGTAAGAGGCGACTAGGGGAAATTTCACTATTCACCAGAGGGAGACTTTGTACAAAAGTCGATTGCTTGGGTACCTCTGCCCCATTCGTGTTTCAACCGTGAAGCAGTTGTGTTTGCATGGCTGTGTTTCGGTTTGAAGGATGGGATATGGCGTGAATTTACTGGGTACAGAGGAATAACACCTGAGTTCTCAGGAATGGCAACGCATGGGGGGTATCATGGGCGAAACAGTATACTCTGTTATGTCCATGGTACTGCTCATAACTATATGCGACGGTTACCACTTTCCATCAGGTGGGCCGTCAGCTTGTTTGCCATTCTAAGTTGCATAAAAAAAAATACTAGACGAAAACAAACCTTACTTAGTTAAATGCGAAGACTTTCCAATCAGCGGTGTACAACTGTGGAAGTTAGTTTTTGTGTAAAGAGCAGTTAAATATGCGATACGTGTTAGTTACTTGCTGCCGTTACATTTCCCACGCCGTTACCGTAACTTGAATCAAGTTGGCAGCACTTTGTACATATTATTATAGATAAAGTAAATAATAAGTTATCTCGACCTGTTTCAGTGGGAGAAAGGGGTTGTTAGTAATGGGATCTAACTGACCCATTGCCAGCAATACACCCTATCAGCTCGACCTCCATGTGGTTCTCCCTGGATACCATCGTGGTTAATTCTAGTGGAATTCGCCACGATGGGCTAACTGACCTGCTTTCATCCTCACCAGAATAGATGGAAAATAGACCGCGTTATCCTTTCTCGTGGGCGTCGTAAGAGGCGACTAAGGGAGGACGAGGGATGATCAGCGGCATCCCTTTTGAAACATCACTAAAGCCTAACAACAGTTGCCAATCCGCCTGCCAAACGTGGCAACTACTGACCAACTCCCCAAGGAAGAAGACTTATGTTCAGCAGTGGACAGTTAAAGACTGATGTGGTGATGATGATGAAGCTTTGTTGGAGCGTCTCTTTTAACATTTTAAGGACGAAAAGAAATTATGACATGACGTATGTTAACTACACCGAACAGACATATTGTTTATGGGGTTAGGATCCCATATAATAACAGTTTTTTTTTAAGTTCCCTGTGATCGAATGCGTTAACAACAAAGCCAATAGGTACCCAATACACCCATGGACCCATCTCGTTCGTATCTTGTTAAACAAAACAGAATTAATCAAATGCAACAATGGTAATCGAGGAACAGCGCTTGTCATAAATCGGGGCCGTATCACGGCATCGCGCGTCACTGTATCGCATTACGACATGTCTGTTTGATATCGAATTTATTACGAGGGGCTTATTCGAATCACTCGAAACACGTCACCCGCTGTCGCTCGCCGCTCATAAATTCAGTGACATATCGCTCGAGTTCTGAGATTTTTCTGTATAAAATCAAAGGGCAGATTTGCTAGCGTATTCTGCGCTTTAAAGCCTTATTCGTATAGAAATAAAGGTGAGAATGTGGTTTTCTAATGACAAACATGTGTTTCCTTGTAAAAATCTTACTCGTCTTGCCTCATATTAATGATGGTTGTTTTTCTTTTTTTTAATTTATCACGATTATGAACTCGGATACGTTGGCGATACACTCATCGATTTCGAGAATCGAGTGAACGTATCAAGATTATTCGATCATCGTATAAGTAACTTAAAACTCACTACGGAACGTCGACAAATAAATTTTGTACAATTTAATGTCAGTTGAGTTTGTTTGATATGCAGTCGGTCGGTGCGTAAACTTTATTTTGCCATCAGTCGTGTTGCACCTTAGATAAATGTCAACTTGTCTTGATGCGTTGAAATTTATCGATCCCTCTCGATATTTAATAGTATTTCGTGATGTACAACTTCGGAAATATAATGGATAGGTAATTTTGCCTCGTCGATTTGTATTTTCCTTGTCAATGTTATGTATAGTTAGATTATGGTTTCACGTTCGATTCTATGATATAATCATAACTTTTAAATGCTTGATCTTGGTCGGTATGGATTTTATTTCCATATGTCGTTAAAATATCACTGATATGTCGTTCTTTAATCTAATAAAGTTTTTCGTCTTGAGTGGACATTGGCTTTAATTTTTTCAAAAAAAGAATAAAGCGATTACGCTGTACGGCGCCATTTATAAATGTGTAAAAAAAATTTTGGTCCGGAAATGGTGTTTTTTATTTACATTTTTTTAGTAATAAAATTTTGTTTATTTATTTATTTATTTATATGCTTTTGTACATTCATTTTTAATATAGATATTAGATTTTAACAGAAATGTGTATGCAAGTGGACTTATCCTTTAAAGGGATATCTTCCTAACCACCTTAATGACTCGAAAGCGGAAAGCGTCTATAGGATTTGTATATAAAGCATTATATATAGTGCAAAAATAATATGATAAATAATAAATTATATTTATAATAAATATATATTGTCATAGAATAACTATTATACATATAAGTAACTTACTTGTCAATTGAATGAAATGAAATCTTTTTGTTTGAGATTGTTTGAAGACATGAACGGTCCACGCCATTCTGATATCAATTTGGAAGGGAATTCCAAAATTTAAACAGTTTACACAGTTTTTTTTTTTGTATTTTTTGTATTCGATGATTTTTTTTAATGTTATTAAACTTGATTGTATATGTGGTACAGATGAGAGGGAGTACGAGGGCGGACCGGTGGGGCTGACAGAGATGCGCTCCAAGCAGCAACCGCGGCCGTCCTACCGCTGGCTCAACACCAACGAAAACGGTAAGCTAAATAGACATACATACATACATACATACATATATATATATATATAATTAATGTAATAACATTGTAACAGGTATGTATGGTGGGGGAAAGGGATTGTTAGCAGGGACTTTTTTTTTGTACAACTTAGCAAACAAGCTGACGGCCCACCTGATGGGAAGTGGTAACCGTCGCCTATAGACATGAGCAGTACCGTGGACATAACAGAGTATACTGTTTCGCCCATGATAGGTACCCATCATGCGTTGCCATTCCTGAGGACTCAGGTGTTATTCCTCTGTACCTAGTAAATTCACGCCATATCCCACCGTTCAAACCGAAACACAGCCATGCAAACACAACTGCTTCACGGTAGAAACACGAATGGAACAGAGGTACCATGATAGGTACCCATCTTGCGTTGCCATTCCTGAGGACTCAGGTGTTATTCCTCTGTACCCTGTAAATTCACTGCCATATCCTACCAACACAAACTGAATACAGCCATGTAAACACGACTGCTTCACGGTAGCGTGTTTCTACCAATGGGACAGAGGTGGAAAACATCCAGTTTATATTTGAAAACACTGTCAAATTAATTGTACATATTTAAACTTGAATATGGGCTACTTGAATAACTATATATTATTTATTAAAAATATTTTTATATACTTATAATATGCTATCGGACATATTATTATGTTAATATTAATTAAAAATTTAATGACTTGTACAAAATATATTATTCATGTTATTTATTGCTTTATTTTTAACTCACATTTAATCGAGACATTATGAATTATTACTATTTTTTATTAATTATGAATTCCTAATGACCTTACCGTAATAGGTGTTTTTTTTTTCTAGTAACTTCTACCGTGGTAAAGCGTTTATTTGCTTATTTATTTTTAATATCATTTAAACTTTATGGACCAATAAAAAGTGGTGCAAAGGGCGGACTTAATTCTATAAGCAGTCTCTACCAGAGGGAGACTTTGTACAAAAGTCGATTGCTTGGGTACCTCTGTCCCATTCGTGTTTCAACCGTGAAGCAGTTGTGTTTGCATGGCTGTGTTTCAGTTTGAAGGGTGGGATGTGACGTGAATTTACTGGGTACACAGGAATAACACTTGAGTCCTCAGGAATGGCAACGCCTGGGGGTGTATCATGGGCGAAACAGTATACTCTGTTATGTCCATGCTACTGCTCATGTCTATAGGCGACGGTTACCACTTTCCATCAGGTGGGCCGTCAGCTTGTTTGCCATTCTAAGTTGTATAAAAAAAAGTCGACTTTTAGGAAGTGGATAGATATTCAACGGTGGTTTCGTTGATTTACTGGCTTGTTTTGCCAAATACATATTTAATAATGAAAAATAATTAAATTATCTGTGACTAGTGATCCGGCCCGGCTTTGCACGGGTACATAGAATATTCAAAATAATATATAGCCTATAGTTTTAGCTGGTAATGTAGCTTTCTATGGGTGGAATCACTTCAATTCAATCATTTATTGCTATTTCATGTTGTAACAATATAGGCCTTAAGCTATTAAAGGTAATGAATTATGAATCTTGGAATTAGTAAATATTACATAAAATACGTAACTACATTTTTATAATATACATGTGTATTGGGGGAAAGGGATTGTTAGTAATGGAGACTGAGAATCCCATTGCTAGCAATATACCCAACCAAGTCGAGCTCCTCGCGGTTCTCCCTGGAAACTATCACGGTTAATTCCTGATGAATTCATCATGATGGGCTAACTGGCCTGTTTTCATTCTCACCTATCACCCTTCACTGGTGCTCCGCCAGCGTATCCCGTTAGCGCGGGCGGGGTTACCATTCCATTTTCACCCATCAAAAAAATATATACATGTATAGTCGATTAACATAAAATAAAACATTAGTACATTGAAACATAGGTACAAATACAATTAAATTATCTCATTGAAAAATTCCTGCAGTGTATAATAATGACTTTTTGTAATTAAATATCTTTTTAGAGCTATTTTAAACTTTTTAGTATTATTTTCTATTTTTTTTTTAATTTATTGGTGTTTTTTTGTAAAGTTTTATTAACATTGCGTAAGGGCCTGAATGGAATATCGTTTTGAGTTTATCTATAAACATTCAAACAAACAATAAAATCTTTTTTCTTTATAGTATTGGTATATATATATACTAGCTTTTACCCGCGACTTCGCCCGCGTGACCGTGATATGTTTTTTGACCGGCATTAAAAGTACGCCCTACTCAATCTCATGTAGCTGTATACCTACATATTTTCATGACAATTAGTCGAGCCGTTTAATGTGCCGAGAGGTAACAAACAGACTCACTTTCACATTTAGTTACATTATTAGTAAGAATTTGATTTATAACATGTCTTCCGCATTGCTTATTAATTCTGACAGCTGTAAATTGATTTCTCAACCGACTTCGAAAAAATAAGGTTTCTATTTATTATATATGTATGTACATATATATTTTTTATGTTTGTTACCTCATAACTCCGTCAGTTGTGAACCGATTTGGAAAAAACTTTTTTTTATCGAAAGGGTATATACTTACAGATTGGTAATTACAGAAATTTCATCAAAATCGATTCAGTAGTGCGTTAAAATCACAATAACAAGTTTTGCCACATTTGAACGGCAAGCAAGCTGACGGCCCACCTGATGGAAAGTGGTAACCGTCGCCTATAGACATGAGTAGTACCATGGACATAATAGAGTATATAATCTATATGAAAGTGAGTTTTTTTTTATTTAATGGGTGAAAATGGTATGGTAACCCCGCCTGCGCTAACGGGATACGCTGGCGAAGCACCAGTGAAGGGTGATAGATGAGAATGAAAACAGGCCAGTTAGCCCATCATGATGAATTCATCAGGAATTAACCATGATAGTTTCCAGGGAGAACCGCGTCGAGGTCGACTTGGTTGAGTATATTGCTAGCAATGGGATTCTCAGTCTCCATTACTAACAATCCCTTTCCCCCCTAGTGAGTTTGTTTGTTTGTTACCTCTCGGCACATTAACCGCTCGACTAATAGTTATGAAATTTCGTATATAGCTATACGAGATTGAAAAGGGCATATTTTTAATCACGGTTGCCTGGAAAAAATCGCTTTTAGCGATAAGGTCGCCCATTGTTTTCTCACTGCGATTATTTCTTGTAATTATTTATATTTATAATAAGTTTACTATTGTAATCTTTTGGAGGAAACAATAAAGAGTATCTATCTATCTATCCAATCACAGTGATGCTATCACAAACCGCCTAAAACGACCACGTCAATTGCGCATATTTGGTGCTTAACTATACATTTTAGTTCCCACTAAAAGTTTAAGAATCACGCGGCGGAAACGCAACTTTAACAGCGAGCCATAAGGTGCATTTTGTTTCGGCGATATATAGGCGATTGCACATTTTAATTTGCCTCACAATCGAACTCGACACCGTGACGTGACGACTCTGAATATTCAACTAAAAAATCGCAATAAATATAAAGTTACGGGCCATAGAAAAAAAAAGAAGCGTTGTACAAAACGCAAATGTAATACGCTCGTAATAACTCATAGGTCTCTTTGTACGGAACTAAGCCACCGTGAAGCGATAAATAATGTTTATTTTTGCTATTATACGCGTTTTTGTCAGTTGTAATGGGTGTAAAACTTGGGCGGGACGGTGTGGCCGCTACGATGGCGGAATCGACACGGTAAGCACCGCGTGACACATGTTCGTCCAATTGCGAGAGATAAATAAATAGGAAATCATTTGTTGAAATAAGAAATAATTGTAGTCCAATAAATGTCAAGTGATTAATTTGGACCAAGTCGCGGGTAACAATAATCGTTAAGTCCTTATTTGGGATTTCGTCTGTGTGACCAGGTTGTGTTTACTGATCGGGATAGTAAGCAATCTATGTCCTTTTCCGTCCAATATAATATGTGTTTACGAAATTTCATAATAATTAGTAAAGTCCTTGAGTAATACACGAACTCATTTTCACACTTATAATATTAGTTTTTTTTTTATACAACTTAGAATAGCAAACAAGCTGACGGCCCACCTGATGGAAAGTGGTAACCGTCGCCTATAGACATGAGCAGTACCATGGACATAACAAAGTATACTGTTTCGCCCATGATACTCACCATGATTATTATTGGATTAAAAAAATTCGAAGCAGATGGGATATGAACCCGTACCTTCTACGCCTTGTCGGAGCCAAATTTTTCAATATCAATGACTTTCATATTTTAATGATTATCCTGTATATTTTTTTAATAAATAACTTAATAAATGTCTTATCTATACTAATATTATAAAGAGGAAAGATTTGATTGTTTATTTGTTATGGATAAATTCGAAAAGTACTCAGATGATTTAAAAAAATTCATTAGCCTATAGAAAGCTACATTATCAGCGAGTAACATATATATATAATATATACATATAGTATATATTATTTTTAAAAATTCTATTTACCTGTGCGAAGTTGAGTTTGATCTGTAGTCGTAAATAAAATCTTTAAATACTCATATTTTATTATCATTAATGGCCAATTGCTATTTACAAGTTAGTCCGCCATATTGTTCTTTATTTGAAATTGGAACATTGCTTTCACGAGGAAATTAAACATCTATTAAGTTTGTTCGCGGTCTTAATACATAAGCGTCAGCGAGGATGAACTCCCTGCCATTTCTATGGCTCTACAACATCTTTTTAGTTTAGTGCAAGTAACTACTGTGTTAAAATAGACATAGATAACTAAGTAGAAATTAATCTAATAACCGGTGTACTTGCTTTTTATGAGTTACGATTAATGAATTAAACGCTAACATTGCATTATTTACAAATACTTCGGAAAATTCTAAAACAGACCTTATGTTTCAGTAATATAAGCTCTTTTGTAGATAAATATTATCCAAATCCAACTAATATTTTACTTAGAAAATGAAAGTTGATATATGCATTGACTCTGAGTGATATTTTGGGCTAACCAAAA